AAAAAAAAAAAAAAAAAGGGAAGGAGATAAGGAGACATCAAAGGAAGCAAAGGAAAACCAATGAGGTAGGAATTTGAAAACAAAATCATTATAAACTCAGTTTTTACTCTATTTTCTTTAATCAACTGTTTTTCGAGTGAGCCAAGTCTGCCAACTTTTTTTGCTTAACAAGGGCACTCTTGAACACGTGTGCAGATGGACCCATTGCTAAACACCTTCCTCGCCGCCTCTGGTCCTCAGTCAGTAATCGGAGCGGAAGTCTATGCCGTATTCCCCATCCTACCCCCTGTCGTCACCCCAGCAAGAATCATTGATTGCCTCAACCCAACCTTTCATAACCTCAACGAACTCCTATTTAATGTCAGAACTGAAACTACAAATGAGATCTTCAGAGTCCATGTACACGCCATAAAACTCAAAAAACCCCTCTCCCCCCCACCCACCCAACCGCCACCCCCCAATACACCCCCCTCACCAACTCTACTCTCTATCCCACCCCAAAATCTTCCTCCCTTTGCAACCCCCTCCTCCTCCTCAACCCAACTCAACCAAGCCACGATCGACGCCTTCGAGCAGCTAAAGAGGCAAATGGCCAGCAAGTTGGAAGAAAACCGAGTCTCCATTGAGCAGCTCAAGAAGCAACTAATTGAGAAGCAAGAAGAGAGCGCCAACCTAAACCAACTTTACCAGAACCTCCAATCGGAAATGTACGGCATTCAGCAAACCATCAGTGACAAGTCCAAGCCTGCTTACGACGAATTGGCAGCCTGGAGATCACAAGTCCAAGCCTGCTTACGACGAATTGTCAGCCTAGAGATCGACTTTTGCATCGCCATGCTATTTCTCTCAGATTGAGGCCTACATCCGTTTTTTGGAGATCAACATGAACTACTCCTATCCCATTGGAAAGGCCTTCGCCGCAGATTTCACCGCAAGAGTTGCATCGGTGGCCAAAGACTGCACTGAACCACTTGTACCCAAGCAAGTTAAGCAACAGCTAGACAAGGCTTTGAGGCAGGCTATGGACAAGGTTGTTCCAATAATCAAGTCCGCGTACAACTACTGCATGAGCCTCGTCAGAAGGGAAGCTCACAGGTAAGCAAGGGTCGTCGCCCGATTTAAAAAATTAATTTTATCCCCCTAGACTGCAAATAGGTCCACGCCATCACGTTATGGGGCTTATCATCTATCTTGTGTATCCTTGCAGATTGGGCATTCCCGAATGGAAGCACTCCTCTTATCGCAAGAAGGATGACAACTCCAAGTCGGACGACAGCAAGCGATCTTCAAATAGGCACTACGAAGACTCCAAAGATAGAGGCTATGACTACCACAGAATGACCAAGAAGTCTCACTCGGACCACTCCCATGCCTCAGGCACCGATCCTGCCAGACCTTCCCAGTAACGATTCGCCTTTTGTCATTCCCGATGTACCCTCTATCCTCTCCGACCTACAAAGCCCCCCCTCCACCTCTGATCTCCGCCTCGCAACTTTCGCCTTGCAAGAACACGCATTATGGCTCAGAAACCCGGATAACTTCACCGCCGCTAATCCCTCAAGACATTTCTCCAACTGGTCGCTTCTACTCTCATCATCCTCTAGAAGATATTCACACTCCGTCCTCCAATGGATCAATCATGGAGTCACCCTCCAATTCAAGGGCACCTCCCACATCACAACCCCTAAGATTATCGAAGTCAGAAGAATGGTAAAGAGTGTACTTCCCGCCTCCCGCTTCAAGCAAGCTCTCAAGCTTCAATCACCACCCCAACTTGCTATCCCAAACCACAACAGTCCGCCTCATCACATTAGCCTCATCTCCTCAACTGTCTCTCAACTCCTTTCTACTGGCGTCATCGAACACTCTCCCAACCCCATCGTCATTAATCCAATCTTCGCAACAGAGAGTTCCTCCAAAACCCGCTTTATCCTGGACGTGCGTTTCGTCAATCTTTTCGTAACTTTCCCCGCTTTCCACTACGAATCAATAGACGATGTCACCGCCCACCTCTCCGGCAGTCCCTCTCAAGATTTCCTTACTTGCTTTGACATCAAGAACGGATACTACCATATACCAATTCACCCTAAATCCATACCTTATCTCGCATTCAACTGGAACGGATCTAACTTCCAATTTACAACTCTCTGCTTTGGCCTATCTTCAGCATGCTGGATATTCACAACAATTATGCAAGAAATTATGGCAGAGCTGCGTTCACATAACGTTTTCACCACTTCATATATTGACGATTCTGCCCTAGCAAACAAAGAATTACCTCTGCTAATCTGGCAAACTTTCAATTATTTTGCGCTACTTCACAACCTCGTTTTTTTTCTTAGCTCACAAAAATGCACTTTTCTACCTTCTCAATCCATCCGTTTCCTCGGTTTCACCCTGGATTCCCATCTTAAGCAAATCACGATACCGCAGGATAAAATAACCAAGATAACCTCTCTCATCCGTAGCTCAAAAACCCCTTCTAGCAGAACTATCGCAAGGATAGCAGGTAAGCTCGCTTGTCTCTCAAGGGCATTTTTACCTACCCATCTCTACCTCTCTTCCCTTTACAAAGCAATCACTCCTACCAACTGGGATTCTCCGATCATTACCACCACCAACCTCACCGAAGACCTCATTTAGTGGGTTACCCACTTACCACACCTTCCCGGCAGGTTTTGGACCCTCCGGCCCATCTCACTCTCAATCTCCACAGATGCTTCATCCACCCAAATCGCAGCCTTAATTTACACTTCACATAGTTCTCCCATTACCTTAAACCAATGCCTGCCCTCAAAACTCCTGGACTCCTCTTCCACACACAGGGAACTTTTCGCTATCCTTGAAACTTTCAGATTTCTTGCCTCAAACCACCCACAATTCCTCTTCTCATCCTCCGTCAAACTCCACTCAGACAGTCAGGCAGCTATAGCGCTTCTCCTTCACTTAAAATCCACAGACGACTCCTTCAATCCTTGGCTTCGGAATATCACCTCCACACTTCTCTCCTTCGACACACTCCTTAGTCCGGTTTGGATACCTCGAAACTTAAACCAATCAGCCGACGCCTTATCCAAGGTAGAAGACAATACAGATTGGGGTCTTGCAGGCCACGTCATCACCGAGATTTTTGCCATAATCGGAACCCCCGCAATAGACCTTTTCGCCTCAGATTACCACCACGTTTGCCCTGTATTTGTATCAAGATTTTGGTCGACAAAGGCCTCACACATCGACGCCCTCTCACTTGACTGGAGTAACCTCCCCCACCTTCCCTATAGATGGTTTTTTCCTCCCACCTCCCTTCTGCACCAAGTTCTCACCAAAGCACTAGCATCCCCGACATCCTACTTACTCATCCTTCCTTCCTCCCAACGCACCCCCTGGTATCCCCGTATCCTCTCCCTCGCTATCAAGCACCGGTTCACAATCCCCGGATCCAAGTTCTCCTGCCTCCCCAGCCCCAGGGTCGATTTCGCAACCCCCAACCCCGCAATCCTTAGCCTCACAGCCATCTTCTTTGTCACCTAACCCACCACCCCTCTGCCTTTTCCACCCTCGCTTCATACCATAACCATACCTCATAAACGTCCCAACACTGCTCCAGGTTCCTTGCCGCATTATCTCACCAAGACTCCAACCCTCCCCTATGCCCGCCTGAACCCCCCCTACTCGAAAGTTGTGCCCGCTCTCCCCAGCATACACCCCCGCCTCCCCAAACCATTTTTCGATCCCTTTGTTAAAAGCACCGCCACTTATAGCACCACCCCCGCGCATCGGTCGAAACAAGAACCCTTGCCTTACATCCTGCCCCACCCGATCATAACTATCTACCATTTTCGGAGGCCACCCCAAGAAGGTCTCCCCCTCACTCGAAACCTCTCGCAACCTTATCATAAATCTGCCACCATGGCGATCAGTTTTAGTATAACCTGGTCGTACAACCTTTTTCTAAAAATCTATCTCCTTGTACTGCAAGCGCAAACCCTCTCCGCATCTCTGCCAACTCTCCCACAGATATAAGAACGCACCGTCATCCCGATATGCTTGAGCCTCGTAATATCCCTTTAGCACCTTTACTTTTTCTCTAATATACTTCAGAACACTCCAATTTTTCCCACCTCAACGGCACCGCTGATTCTTCAACTACTCCTCTCTGCAGAGAATACTCCCTGTATGCTCTCCGGAATGACCGCACACGGCTACTCTGGCAAGGATCGACTTCTCCATCCCTTCCAAGCAAGCGAAAGCACGCACTCAGGCAGTTCAGCGCAACATCTGCCATCGACGGAGACACAAGCGGCAGGCCTGCAGCATCAGAAGTCCGGCATCGGCTCTCCACCTCGACCAACCATTGGCTGCTCACAAAGGACAAGACATCAAGATCATTGCAACCCATGCAGCCGCGACCTACATTGTTCCGCTTCAGCCACTCATTCAAGGCAAGAAGAAGCTTCTTCATTCCACCTCTCCATCTTCTTCCGGCTCCATACGTTCCTACCAAGGCGCTGCTCCACTCAAGACCTGCCTCGTATCCGCCTTCAAACTCTGGAGTGTCTCTCTTCTGCCGCCAGCCGCCATCGCTCAAGCGTTCGTTCCACCATTCCCTGCAAAAAGACGATGTCACTTGCGGGACGCTGGGGGGAGTTGGGCGGTCTAGGAGGTGTGCGGGCCTGCGACCCACTTTCCCGACTCACTTCTGAGCTATCTGGCAACATCTGTGGATCTTTTTTTTGTTATTTATTTGGAACAGACCTGTGTAACATTGTGCCAGTTCTCGGCCCAGATGACGATCCATTATTCTACGGTTCAGAAGCCTCATGCAGGGATCACAACCCAACTACATCGTCAGCAACCTGCGTGGCAACCACGGGCAGCGGTGGTTGGATTTTCAGTTCTCGTTTCCGTATCTTTAGCAACCGTCGATCCCTACCCATCTAAGATCTGCGCTCATCTGGTCATGAGGGGTAATTGTGCAAATTGGGAATTGTGAAACTCACCCAGGTTGGAGTACGGCTTCGCTGGCCCTCCCGGTCCCGCTGCTCTGGCCAGCGACTGTATAAGTCACAGGCGCCTGCCCAGCCACAATGGCTTGAGTGGTCTCCCGTGTTGCGCCTTCCAGGCCTCGGCTGTCCGCGACATTCATCGCGAATGCGTACCTGCGTGCACGCCACACAGGAGTCAGGTTCCTCTGAGGTCGAGTCTTTCTCCTCGCCTGATCTTGGCGAAGCCGTCCCACCCGCCCTCGATTTTCCCGCGGTGTGCGGGCCTGCGGCCCACTTTCCCGACTCACTTCTGAGCTATCTGGCAACATTTGTGGATCTCTTTTTTGTTATTTATTTGGAACAGACCTGTGTAACTGCTGGTGCTGTGGGGCCTGGAGAAAATGAAGGAATTGAAAGGGTTAAGGGTAGACAGCAAGAGGACAACAGTAACAACGCAAAAACAGACGGGGAGGGGGAACAAGGGTTTGGACAAGGGTTGGACAACGGTTTGGGCGATACTGAACAGAGGGCGATAAGGAGACTAATGCTGACAGGTTCCAAGGGGCTGAGGGCATCAGACAAGAGGGTTTAACGCTAGGTTTTGAGGGTTTTAGACATGAGATTTAACAAAAACTCTCAAATGAGCTTACTCACTGAGTGAACCTGCAGACGAAATTCGTAGAATCGCAGGTACTAATGCGGGGTGGTTACCCCGACAACAATGCAACAAAAGGCTCTCAAGTGTGGCTGACATTGTTTCAAAGTTCTATAAAATGTATGATGGGACACTGGACCCGCTTTCCAGCAGGTGCGGCTCCCCAACAATAGATGGAGCCATCCAAAAGTGGGTCTGCTAATGGGGGATGCTCCTATCACCTCCATTAGCATGATCCACGACAGAGCGATGTTTCTACTTAAAAAAAAAAAAAAAAAAAAAAAAAAAAAAAAAAAAACCCTGTCTGGTCAGGAAGGGTTACGTGGGGGGGTGTTATGTTCGGAGAAATGCCTGAAGTGTAATTCCAAACTGTTTTTATGATTGTACAAAAGTTACCCCCACCTTTCTTTTTTACCAATGCAGGGGAGGTATACCGCCCTACATCAGTGGGGTCATCAGCAGATGCTGGACACAGTTACAGAAACTTCCACTGATCATGCACAGGTCTTGTCCAGATAAAATAGTGGATTTTCATGCCCTTGATGATGCCAGATTGATTAGGAGAGTCCTGGAGTTGGGGGCTAGAGGCCCACACAACGCGGGAAGATCGTGGGCGGGTGGGACCGCTTCGCCAAAATTGGCGAAGGAGAAAATGACTCTCCTCAAACCGGCTGATGATATGACTGAGTGCCTGCAGATTCGCGTACGCACTGAGTTCTGCTGGCGGACGCGCAACCGAAGGAGGTTCAAGGGAAGTCCAGCAGATCCAACAAGTCCAGCAACCTGCCTCAACTGCCGCACTGCCGGTAACTATACCGTAGCAAGCAGTGGGAGCAGTGTCATCAGGGCTAGTGACGTCCAGATGCACCCTGGCTGAGTTCCGCAGCCCTTGGTCCCGATCGATCTCCAACCGAATGACTTGAATCTCTGCTGATGGTCCGGTCCCAAGTCCAACCTCCAATACAACTAGTCCTTGGTCCCGATCCGTTGTCCACCCGAATGACTTGAACCTCTGCTGATGGTCTAGTCCCAAGTCCAGTCGCCGATATTATAAACAGCAAAGACTGGCAAAAGCATGTACCGTAGATCTCGAGAACCTATGGATGCGGATAAGTCGAACGGAGGGGCATAGACAAGGAAAGTCGTATTTGTCTGAAGTAAATTGTTCACCTAACAAAACGGACCGGTAATTGTCAGTACCTGCTCATGTGACCGAGAATTAGAAAGGCCAATTGAAAACAGTCGTAGGATAATTGTTGCACAAGTCTTCTCCAAATAAAATAACGGATTTTCATGCCCTTGATAATGGCGAGTTAAATAGGAGAGTCCTGGAGTTGGGGGCAGCGGGCCCACACACCTCTTGGACCATCTCATCTCCCCCATCGTCCCGTAAGTGACATAGTCGTCTTGCAGGGAATGGTAGAATGAGCGAATGAGTGATGGAAGCTGGCGACAGAAGACAAACACTCTGGAGCACGAAGGAGATTACGAGAGCGGGTTTGACCATTGGAGTGGTGTAACAATGTGATTGATGAGTTTGGATGTGGGCAGCGATGGCCCAGTGGGATGAAAAAATTGTTACTTGGATTGAATGAGTGGTTGAAAAGGAGTAATCTGGGTCGGGATTGCATGAGATGCATGGATCTGGATATCCTATCCTTTATAAGCCGTCAGACTATCAGTGGTTGATTGAGGTAGAAGGTCGACGCCAAACAGCATATTGCGAGGCGAGTCATGGGACTCCTATTGTATCACCATCTACTGTTGAAGCAGCCATAAATTATTTGAGTAATAGTTTCCGATTGTCAGGAAGGGAAAATGACGGTCCTTGCCAGAGCAGTCTTGTGAAGGAAGTTTGAAAAGCCTATCGAAAGTATGCATTACAAAGCGGGGTGACGGAGGAATCAGCATGACCTTTGCGATGGGAAAAATTGAAAATTATTATAAATTACATTAGAAATAAAATTTTGACATTGAAGGGGGTGATGGAAACTGACACATATAGAGATGCTGCAATATTTCTATATCTACGAGAAAGTTGACAACAATCCGGAAAAGGATTACGTTTGCATATACAAAGATCAATATAGGGCAGACCTGGGAGAGGACAATAAGATCAAGGTATAGTAAGACTGATCGGCAAGGGGGAAGATTCTTGAAAAGATTGCACGAGCCTGTTGAGGGAGAGGAGACGTTTTTAGGTATTCTAAGTGAGTTGATGGTTGCTCTATGTGACACCCGCCGCGGGCATTTCGACCGCTGCAGCCGCGGCCTATGAGGCCCAGTCCGCTACCTGTTTTTTTTATTATTTTTTTTTACCACTATATATATATATATATATATATATATATATATATATTATATATAGGGATGTAGGGTTTGGAAAACCCTACAATCCTACGTTTTTTATTTCGGAATCCGACTTTGTCGAAGATTTTTAAAAAATGAAAAACAAAATTCGATTTAGACAAAACATTAAAAAAAAAAAAAAACGGGAATTTTCTTTTTGCATTTTTTATCATGAGGGATATGGTCCCTGAGTCGTGCTGTATTTTTTTTTTAAATGATTTTTGGTTTTTTGTTGGCAAATTAGGTGTTTAAAAAAAATGAAGATGCAAAAATTTAAAACAAATCAAAAAAAAAAGTGGGTCAAGCTGGGGTTGGTGTGTGTGTGTGTGTGTATGTGTGCGTGTGTGTATGTGTGCATGTGTGTGTGTGTGCGTGTGTGTGTGTGTGCGAGAGAGAGAGAGACAGAAAGAGAGAGAGAGAGAGAGAGAATCAATCAATCAATCAATCAATCAATCAACCAATCAACCAATCAATCAATCAATCAAACGAATCAAGATCCTATCTATTCGATAGGATCTTGATTCGTTTGATTGATTGATTGATTGATTGATTGATTGATTGGTTGATTGAATGATTGATCGATTGATCGATTGATCGATTGATTGATTAATTGATCGATTGATCGATTGATTGATTAATTGATCGATTGATCGATTGATTGATTAATTGATCGATTGATCGATTGATTGATTGATTTAATTGATTTGATTGATTGATTGATTGATTGATTGTGTGTTTGTGTGTGTGTATATGTGTGTGTGTATGAGAGAGAGAGAGAGAAAGAGAGAGAGAGAGAGAGAGCGCGAGAGAAAGAAAGTAGAGAGAGAGAGAGTGTGCACGTGCAGGTGTCTGTGTGTGTATGTGTATGTGTGTGTGTGTGTGTGCGCGCGCGCGACTGTGTGTGTGGGTGTGTGCGTGTGGGAGTTGCTGCGCGGGAGCGTGCGGGAGCTGCTGTGCGGGAGCTGCTGTGTGGGAGTGTGTGGGAGCAACAGCGCGGGAGAGTGCGGGAGCTGCGCGCGTACGAGAGAGAGAGAGGTGTGTGTATGTATGTGTGTGTATGTGTGTGTGTGTGGCAACGGGGGGGGGGGCGACACTCCCCCAACCAACCAACCAATCAATCAATTAATCAATCAATCAATCAATCAATCAATCAATCATCAATCAATCAATCAATCAATCAATCAATCAATCAATAAAAAAAACAATGAATAAATGATTTTTTTTTAATTTTTTTTTTGCTACCTATAAAAAACAACCTCAAAAAAAAAAAAAAAAAAACTATTTTTTTAAATTTTTTTATTTTTACGCAGGCCGATAGCGACCGGCGTGCGCGCCAATTTTGAGCACGCGCCCCCGTCTGGGCGTGGTGCGGCCACGCGCAGACTCGGTCGCGGGCCCGCGGTCGATGGTGTCACGTAGTAGTTGCTTATGAACGGATAGGGCAAGATATCAGAATTGTCTACTTGTTCTCATGTCGTTGCGGCGGTGCTCCATTGGGTGGGAGTGGATTCAATACTGGATTTAGAAGTGGTCTGGGGAGGCAGGATGTTAGAAGAGGAGACAAGACATAGTTTCTAAATAGGTGGTGTTCAAGCTGGTATTGAGGAAGGTTGGAGTTTGGGAGAGATGATGCGTCAGGGTAATTGGAAGAGTGTGGGGACATTCATACGGTATGGGTAAGGAATGAAACGCGATTGGAAAAGGAAAGGTGGAAATTGGGTTTGAAATAGGAAATTCAATGCTTTCAAACCAAAAAGTGTTTGGCTGGAGCGGGAAGGATGAATTCTCAGACTAGGGATACGGGGGAAAGAAGATTGGATAACGTTGAAAGACCAAAGTATCCTTTGTTGCAAAGTTCTTGGGAACCAGATAGGTTTAGGGAAGTCGGGTACAATAAGGAGATAGAAAGCACGGGAAAGTGTTGCGCGAGAGATGATAGCGTTTATGAGAGATGAAGGGGGAAAGATCCATCTGTAGGTTTTTTTTTTTAGGGTGTTTTAATCTAGAGAGAGAGCTTCAATGTTTAAAGCGTTGTTTGACAATGTTTTGGAAATAAATGCTAGGACAGTTGGGCATACGTAGTGGTAATATAAAGCAAAGAGATCGATGATCAAAATGTTTAGTTCTTCGAAGATAGTTTTCAGAACATGAGAGGAAATGCCCCAATATGAGTTGTCCTCCGTTTTGAAGATGTGATCCGTATATTGGTTGAGTTCTTGGGGAATCCAGATAGGGTTGAGGAGAGTGTCACAAGTGACTATTATAAAAGCAATATTCCTAAGTCAGGGATTGAAGAATGGGTCTTAGGAACGCATGTCGGCATGGAGGAATGAGGCTGCTTGGTTGTCGAGGTGGAGTTTAATAGAGGTAGATAGTAGGAGGTCCTTGTGGTTGAGAAAGAGGAAGATGGGGGTTTGAAAAATTACGAAACGTTTGTGGTGAGTGGATTGGGAGGCATTCATTGAATATGATTTCGTCATTGAGAAGAGGTTTTATAATTGTTGCAATTTACGT